TATGCAATGTTAAACAAACTATTCAGGAATTAATTGTTTATGCTTCAATTATCCTACATTTCCAACTGACCTTAATGGCCCGTCATACCCGACAAAGAAGACGGTCCCTTCCTTTAAAAAATACATTTATATGTCAAATAAAATAAAAAAATATTAATCAAAAATGCTGTCTTATAGAATTCAAATACACAAGGCATTGTTTATTTACCCTAGTCCCCGTATAGTGATGTCAAATATAATCACAGCTGGGAATCGACATAAATATTAGGCACTTAACCTTTCACTTGGCGATAAAATTAAGCTTCAGTTTAAATATCGAGGAATTCACATACTTACTTTTCAAAAAATATAAAAGTATAATGAAAATATAAGTAACTATATAGCTTGCAAATGAGAGATTCAGCATTATGTTTTTAACGCATTTTAAAACTTCAGACAGCCTTTTTCATTCTTTCTTTATTTCCTTCTATTGGAGATTCATTAATTATACAAAAATACACATTCAACGAAAGTAACGTCACATAGGTGCTATTATGTACATTAGTGTAAAAGTTAACAAAGGGATGAACTTAATCCGGAAAATATTCGCATGTCAGTTTGCAACAGAGTTAGAGTACAGAGGCTACAACTGTCCGGTCCATTCAAGGGAACACGGTTGTCTTTCTGTTGTACGCCGCTGCCACATCTCTTATAAAACGAAAATTAAGAAGATGGAGTTCGTACGTGTCATAGTCCGAGAGTGAGGTAGTTAGACATCTAGCACCGAGAAGAAACAAGTATAATTCACTTTCTGACAGTCCTGATAGCTCGGCGCCTAGTGAGATGTCGTACTCCTCAATCACAGTTTCCCACCAGGCATCGCGATAAAGAGATGTTTCCGGGCAGACTGTGGTAATGTGCTCGAACACGTTCGTGAAAGATTTTGCACAGATGCAGCACGATTCCGGCGGTGTATCTAGGAGGGTCCATAGTTTTACAATAAATTTACACAGTACAATTTCATGAATATTATTGGGGATGACCCACATATGCATAGGTGGTTTGCATGCACAGAGGATGTTAAATTGAGCAAAGTCAGAATCGGCAAGCATTCGGTTGCGCCTAGAGGCAGAGTGAAACGAGATGACGGAGGATTTTACTGATGTCTTCCATTGAGACTTGTGAAAGAATCCACTTTCGAGAAAATCAGTTAACACGTGGTATAAGTTGTATTTTAACAGTATGGGAATGATGTCTTGAATAAACCCATAATGCTTAATACTGACATTGAAGAAGTAGGAGAAAAGACGGATGATGAATATACGCTTAGTAAGGAAAGTTGTGTTGAGTTCACAGAGACGGCCAAAGAATTGCAGTTTTTTAATGTCGATCTCTGCTGTAATTGGTAGGAGACCTAGAAGGCTTTCGCACATGTCTGATCTGGTATGATGGGGCAGTCCCATAACATGTTTAACGACAAAATGTTGGAATGCGTTGAGTTTAAATATCGAGGAATTCACAAACTTAACTTTCAAAAAATATAAAAGCAGGAAATGTAAATATAAGTAACTATATATCTTGCAAATTATATATGCAGCATTATGTTTTTAACGCATTTTAAAACTTCAGACAGCCTTGAAATAGCTGCAGCATTTAAAAAAGATGATGGGGAATGTAAAACGAGATAATAAGTCGTACGATATAATACGTCGTTATAACGAGGTTTTTATTCGTAATCTGGGATAACAAGTCATTAATGAGATAAATATGTCGTTAGAACGATATACTAAGATGTTAGAAGTTTTATACTTCATGCATCCTTAGCATCAACAGAAGTCAGAGTTGAAAAGAATTAATGTAAATAACAAACTCAAGGACCAATCAAGAAAATTTCCCGGGGTTGGAGGAATTAAATATCCGCCCAAAATTTATCATTGTGTCAAAATTTCATTTCCAGAAAAAAAATATTAAAGCTTCTAAACGTGAAAATTCTGGTATGTGAGCGCTTATTTGTGTGTTTTATACGTGTTTGTGTGTATGAGGGATTGGGTAACCTCGTAATAACGACTTATTCTATAGTACGCACGGTTTAGTCTGTGTTGTGTGTACGGATTACCATCTCGTAATAACGACTTATTTTGTCGATCGTACTACTAGTATTGAGTACATACGACTTAGTGGATATAGTTTGCATGATTTATTAAGTTGCTATTACCATTTATTATCTCAAAAGTTCATAATAGGTGTATGTCAAGTGTACGATACATGTCAGGTTGGGTCGGTTTGGTACTATACATATCAATTTGAAAGCAAATGTAAGGCATTTGTTCTTATACTGTATTTTATAGCGGAATTTTCCGTCTACCAGATCAATACTCGGGGCTCAGGACGGGTGTAACTGGTCGTCAAGGGATGCTTACGCCTCCTGAAATTTCCTGGGGTTCCTTTTTTATGCCCAGATTTGTATCATTTATAGGTTTCTTGAGATCAGTCACTCTTCATTATATTCACGTATTTATCTGTTACAAGAATAACATAAACAAGCATTGATTTAAGCAAAACTATGACCTCTTTCAATACAAATATTCTCTCCCTCCCAGCTTCAGATAGAAAGAAGCTGTATTCCTTTGTTTTAAACTTAGGGAATGGGGAATATTCGTCTTTTCCCTCTTCGAATTTTGATTTAATTCTGTATACAATGTACAGACTTTCATCTGCTCTTAACCAGAAAAATTCATATAATCAAGCTTACCCATACAGCAAATGAAATAATGTGTGCTGACTTTTTTGTCAAAATATGATCAAATTCTTTGAGAAATCTCAAAATTAATTTGTCATATGATGGTTTGTACCATTCCATCTTGATATCTGTTTTTTTTTCCTGAATATAGACGATAAGGGCCAACTAAGAACTAAAATATATGACAAACGAGATGATTTCAACTTTTCCATCGTCAACTTTCCTTTTTTATGTAATAATATCCCACTATCAAATGTATACGATATTCAAAAGCATGCTACGAATACGATCAATTTTTAAACCAAAGCAGGCTACAGACAGATTAGTTGATGTTACAGGGATTTCTACAACCTCATTTAAAGTCAGCACTTCGTAAATTTTATGGCTGTCATAATGACCTTGTTGGCAAATTTTGGCTGACTTGACATAAGGCTCACTGCAGGTGTGACCAGTCAACAGGGGATGCTTACTCCTCCTAGCTAGGCACCTGATCCAACCTCTGGAATTTCCAGGGGTGTGTGTTTTATGCCCTCTTTAGAAAATTGTATTGCTCATAGATTTTTTAAATCGTTCACTTTTCGTTATCTCCACCTTTTTTCATTTTGCTTGCATATAGGTACTTAAGCTTAGAAAAAATTTCAGCAGTAAGTTTGTAAGTACGGTAATTCTACAAATGAAATATTTAGTTCTCAGGGAAACTAAGGCCTAAAACTTTTGTTCAATTACATTTTTCTCTATGTCTTGACCTAAGTCATTGTGGAATTAATTCATGTTTGTATCTGCGCTTATCTAGAGTTCTGTAAACCGTAGTATGTTATTTGGTTTCTTGATGATTTGTCCGTTGAATATACACTTCCAAATAGTAAAAAGAATTCGTTTGTTAAGCATCATTTTGGGAATTCTCTGCAGGTTTGGAAAATTTAGAAAGCTGGGAATATTTTAATAATACACAGTCCATCGTGGTCACGTGCAGATGTTTAACAGTTTGGTTATATATTCTTATGTGTTTTGTTTCATGATTCCTTAAACATAAGTGCAAATTATATGAATTGTGAATTATCTAAACAAAAGCGGGGGGGGGGGGGGATATAAATATTTTAAAGGTCAGTGTACATGTAATAAAATAAATCATCAATATATATTTTGAATTTAAGGAGATTGCTTTTCTGCACATTTGCGAATGTTCAGATCAGTCAAAATAAATGTATTTTGATAGAAATAAATAAATTGAATACAAATATCTTTCAATTAATCATTCTTTAAAATTTTAATAAGATTCTCCCAAAAGTCTTCAAAAGCGCAGGACTTTTCGGGATATTCAATAAAGCAGTCCTTTTTCACGAGGTCCATTACTTTACTGGGATAATCGCTGTTGTAAACTTCCGGTAACAAGATTAAAATAACAAAATCTGAGCTTTCACGATCCTTGATTTCCTCCACTTCAGCCATGTTAGCTCATAGTCACGCCACTTTGACTTTAAGTATCGTTTTGAAACAACACAAAGAACTTTCTTACTCTCATGAATTCCAGTCATTATACAATCCACTTTTGAAAATCCTGGAAGATAATCTCTGTCCCTCACAAGAAGACGTAATCCACCAGTGGTTTCAAGCCTAGGTATCACCTCTTTCAATACAAATGTTCTTTCCATTCCAGCGTAAGATAGAAAAACGTCGTATTCATAGTTTAGATTTGTAGAATTATGAACATTCAGTTTGTCCCTAATTCGAAATTTAAGTTTAGTTTTGTACACAATATAGCGAATCTTCCATCTGTTTTTTACAGGTAGAATTCCTGTCAACTAGCTAATGAATACAGCAATTGATACAGATCCCGTTATATACCATATCAAAAATGATCTACAAGTGTTCTCTAAAAACAAAATTGATTGTTCCAAATTTTTAAATGAAAATTTTATTTTATCAGGAAAACACTGATATTGCTGAATATCTACAAAATTATCTCTGTTTATTACGATCCATTTCAGAAAATTTTGATTTTCGCAGGAACAACTTAAAAGATTACCAGAAAGATTTATCATTAACTTAGATCTTTAAAAGGCATTCTCAAAATGCACTCGGATTTTTTCATCAAATGACCCTATCCGATTATGGGAGATGTCTATCAATGATAATTCTGTCATATGATCAATTTTTACATTCCATCTTGATATCTGATTGTTTCTGACATTTAAAAACTTAAGCTTAGAAGAATTTTTCAGCACTAGATTTGAAAGTTTTGTAATTCTGCGGAATGAGATGTCTAAATTCTCAAGGGAAACTAAGGACTCAAATGTTTTCCCATTGCATCTTTCTCTAGGTCTTGACCTATGTCATTGTGTGATATATTGAAATTCTGGAGTTGTCCACCGTTTTTCATGGCAAATGTGGATATGTGTGAGCAAAAATTATTTGACACATCTAGTGTGATTTGATTATTTGTTGGTTGAATGTGAACAGGACCTTCGAAAGAGTACAAAAAGTTATCCTGTAACTTTATAATCCAGAGACTCGGTGCAGAGATGTTAAATTCAGGAACCTTGAAATATAGTCGACTAGAAAAAGCGTATATTTCCTCCAGATTTCGTGGAAAATGCCAAATAAAGCTTGAATCTGCACCGATGTTTTTCAGAGTTTGGTTATTTGCAACTTCTTGGCAATGAAAAACATCTTTGAACAATTCTCTCTTTTCAATACATATATCTACAATTGAATTAGGAAACTTTGGTGGATGCTTCTGAAAGCTCGCATTGAAAACTCGCAAGTTTTCCAGCATATTAAATTCTAGTATATAAGGGCCAGACGTTAATTTGTTTTCGTCCATTGACAATTTCTCTAAAGTTTTAGGAAGATTTTTAAAGACTCCTGGCTCTAATATTTCCAATCGGTTACTGCCTACATGTAATGCTGTAAGGTTAGTCTCTTTGAGAGAAAGAAGATGATGACATTTCAATTCTGTTCCAACTCCGGCTACACAGTTAACTCCGTTAATATTCAGGGATTTTATCTTTGTTTTGTTTAAATTAAAAGTTACATTAGGCAAAGATGCGAAACCTAACTGACGATTGTAGGAAATATTTAGATATTGTAATTTTGGCATGTTGCTAAATGATCCTTTATCAATATCCTTTACATTGCAGTAAGAAATGTCCAAAACTTCAAGGAATAGAAAATTTGAGAACATGTTCGAATCAATATATTCGAGAACACACTTGCCTTCAATTCCCGACATATCTAAAACTTTAAGATTCTTCAAACGCAAGAATCTTTTTCCAAATCTTTTATTTGCTATCCCATTAAATTTAATGGATGAAATGGAATAAAGATTTGCAAAAGCATTGTCTGGGAAAGCTATAACATTTTCCTTGTAACTGTTTTTCTTTATGTTTATATTTCTAAGGACGACAGTGTTTTGAAAAGTTTCTTGTAATCTGAATGTTCCAGTTCATTTCCCTCTAAATTCAAAAAACTGGAGTTTTGTTAAATTTTCGAAAGGATTTCCGTCTACAATTGTTAGATTATTTTCAGATAAATCGAGATAAATCAGCTTTTCTGGCAGTTGAGTACTCCATGTCTGAATCATCTTGATATTATTTTTACTGAGGTCTATCCATGTGATGCTGTCATTCATATGTGGTATAACACTAAGATTCCGTTTCGAACAATTAACATGAATTCCCATTTCATAAGGAAAACAAATACACTTAATGCTTCTGAACCAACATGAATTATTCTCCCCTGCATCACTTTGAAAAACGTCAATAAACATAGAAATATAAAACCAGATGAGAATTGATGCCTTGTTATTCATCATAGATGTTGCTGCGAAAATCGTCCTAGTATCTTTTTTCAAGTGTGGCTAATATGAGTGCTTTCCCCTTTAACTTGTAGAGTTTACACTTCAGGCTCTAAGAGGTTTATTATATTTTCATTTTGATATTTCTAACATGATGTGCCCTAGAAAAAGTTTACATAAGTACACATTCTATATCGAGCTTTCTTGATAAAGGTTTATTGGCGACCAAAAAATTTACCTGCCCGTCTTGATGCAAGTTTCCTAGTTGGGGATTTCCAGTCAAATCAATCATAATGGCTGAGCTGGATAGCAGTTATTCAGAGCTATTTGAATAAGAAGATGACTTTGCTATAGATTTAATTTATACAAACCGTTTAGGTTGATTTGTTATTTCAGTGTATTTCATAGAACTATCAAAGGAAACATTAATAAATTCAGTTTGTAAGTGGTTCGTTAAATAAGGGTGGGTGCAGGGATGGAAAGGTCAAATTTAGCTTCCGCCAGCCTTACATTTCAATTAAAATATACACCACACCTCTACTTCAAATAACTCACCATTTCAATATAACTTAGAGTCACTTTTTATGGATGTGATCAGTCGACAGGTAAAGGTTGTCCTTTAGTAAGGTATTCGATTGAATATACTAGGTAAAGCGAAAGCACCACAGTCTCTGATATGATAAGCCTTTCATACATCATATACAATTAAAAATACGAAAAATCTTATACCACAAGACACCTTAAGTTCGTGTAACATTATCATTGTTATCTTCAGCATAAAGACAAAAATGTTCTGTTTTTATGCAAATAAATAACATTCCACTGAATATTTAAAAGACAAGACTATAATTTTAATGCAGAAAACAATATTCAACGAATTTGAAATACAAAATACAAAGAGTCCATTGTACATGTATATTGATTAAAACAGTGATTGTTTGCTTATTTTGAATATCATAGAGGAAGATTATTTTGATAGTTTTCATTTTCTGAAAGGACTTCACGTGATATTCGTTCTATTGTAATATTAACCCGAAAACCGTCCGCGGAATATTATATACGACTCAAAGTTTTTGCTGTAATGAGCAAAAATGACCGCACCAAAATTACACAGAACATGGCGTCATCCTATTAAAAGCATGCTTTTACTATTGTGATATCATAACATTCAATTTTGTTCAGTGATGACTGTGTAAGATTATTAAGTTTGAGTGATTGATTATGTAATATAACTATTATGGACTTTTTCGCTGTTTGATGAGTTTGTTGGCAATATTTCACGGTAGGTTAATATGTTGTTATACGGACCCATATGTCAAGTGATATTGACCTTTTCTTCACAGAAAATGATAGCGTCCTCGTACGTTGGTCCGCTTACACTTTCTATTTTTCCTGTTGGAGGAATATTCACGTCGTTAATTGCTAGATGCAAGGAGATGGAGATAAAGAGTATACATAGTATATTTAGAAGTATTATCATAGTATTATTATACTTAGCCTAATGTCCTTTAATAAATTCAACTATTAAGCACTAATAATATTAAAGATCTTTTAAATTTGGGCAATTGTTTTAATGCTGCCACTTTGTTAAGAAAAAAAAACAATATCGATGTATAACTGTTACACTATTTTCATGTATACATTTTTTTTCGTTTCCTCTATCTGTATTTTTTAATAGCATATATTTATTATTCTGATCAGCCAGTTGGCTTAAGGAAATAAAAATAATTGAAACCTGAAGCATACATATATATGTATATATCTCCATCCCTTAGCCTGTTGCAATTAACGCCATGCATATTATTCAATGTTTGTAACTCTTAGGTTTACAGCACACCTTTCATTAACAACTAGATTTCGAGTGTACATTTCTGTTTAATTTATCTGTATGCTTATAATCTGACTTTCTTGTGCTTCATCTTCCTGTGCTTAGTCATTTACATCTGATTTTGATGCATCAGCTGTTAACTGTTTTAGTTATCTTAGTAAATACTTACAAAGTGCAGTTCTATGTCTAAATTCTGAAGTGTTTACATGAAAAAGTCTTGTTCCTGATAAAATTGTCTCATTTTATATACATGTACGTATATTTAGTAAATACACTCCGGTATAAATGCTGATTTTCTTTCTAATATGAACAATATAAAAAATATAATCCTGTTTCAGTAACTGAAATCAAACAAAGGGACAAAACAAGAGATAATATTATAGATTTGGAAAATAAAAACGATTTCAGTATAGTCAAGTAGTCAAGGAGTAGTCAAGATTCCTACCTTTCTTTAATTAAAAGTACTATTAAAGTATTCATCAACTTACAATTACATGAATGACCGAAGAGACATGTGTGTCCCTATTCTTCAAAAAAAAAAACAAAAAAAAAAAAAAAAAAAAAAAAACACAAAAAAAAAAAGATTGTTGCTTCACAAAAACGTTTTGTTTATATTGTAGTAAGATGCCTCAGCATCATAACTTTGTAACGAAAAATTTTATATGCACCCACGGGTGGCATTGTAAATTAATCTGCAGTTTATGAAGATATTCGCAGGTAGGCTAAGGCTTCCCGTAGAATATGACAGTGCACTCTGTGCCTTCACATCTCTGAACTACCAAAATATGACGTCATAATAGAAAATGACGTCAGGTCACTGCAAACTTGAGATGTTATGACGGGGAGAGTGTCATGAACTTTACACTTTATTTCAAACTGCATGTAAAATGCTAGATAACTATTGCAAAATTCACGGGTCGGTAAAGGTTTTTTAAGTCTTATATGTCCAAATATTTTAAAAATACACCGCTTACCTACCCTTGATTGAAATTCATCATGTTCAAAATGCTTATGAAAAATATACTTTTGAAATGTACTCTGTTTTATACCCGTGGTTGGAGGTAGAATTCATTTTGTGTGTATAAAAGAGTCCTGCGCAGGTGATTAATGAGGATTAATCTGAGAATGTTTGTGGAAATCTGTAAGAAGAGGTTGTTCTCTAACTGAATCTTGCTTGGGAAAAATGTGTGTTGGATTTGTTTTAATACAGATTACGATATTGTGTGGGAAATACCCTCAGATTTGTAGGTAAGTTGAATTTCTCAGGAAATATTTTGTGCCCAGGTAATAGTATGACTTTTCCCAAGCACATTTCGGATACACAAGGATACGATGAGTTTATTTATATAACAAAATGTTAATAAATATTGTGTTAATCAGCTGCGCCGAAACGATTTATATGAAACACTTCAAAAAATTATAAATGACCGTCACGTGATCAACAAAGTCATGTGATATCATAACAAATATGCTTATATATAGCCGAGGAAACCCTTTATATAGATTGAAAGTACTAAAGTTCAATGCTTAAAAATTAAAACCAAAACCGACCTCGCAATGACATATTATGATTTGAGTGCATTTTAAAGCTTCGGAAAGCCTTAACATAGCTGCGTTGTTTGTATCTATGAAATAGTTGAAGCCTTATAATTAGAGTTATATAGAAATTCTGGGAGTTCCTTCACACTAATACCCTTTATAATTGTACGGATAAAGCACTTTGTTTCAATCTTACCAGTTTAGGAAGCTTATTCTATTAGATTATGCCATTCTAGATTATCAAATCCAAATATCTTAAATGTCCTTTTCTGTGTCTCTTTTAAAGATGATGTCCCTTGCATTATTCCGAAATAGAAAATGTTTAAACCACTTTTTGCTACAGGTCAGAGTCACGAATTCGTACATTGCATAAAATGATTGAAATGGGGATACGTTTTGAAATTTGGAAATTAAAATTGTAAGTGATGACTTCTCAAACTTTACACTAATTAAAATGTTTGTTGGATTTTGAGAAAATTGTATCATATAAGGTTACATACTGAGTTTTTCTAGTCATTCTCAATGCAGGGAACCTGCCATATTTCTCCAGGAAAAAAGTTAAAAGACAAAGAAGTATTAATGAACAGTTACCTCTGTAGTTAAACTACATCGGGAAAATACTTGCAATTAAAATTTTCAGTTACTCAACTTGGTTTAATATAATGTTAAGAATATTTTAATCTATTTTGAGTTTTGTCTTTTAATATAGAGAACCGTTTATTTTATTTTACATCATAGGGCAGATAACTATGGAAATTTTGAACTCTTCGGTGAGCAGTATTCAGAATTTCCTTACAAAGGACCATTTTGATTTTGGGGGTCTCAAGATCAAGCTTATGAGAGAACTGTATTGCTCTTGGGATTAGTGGGTCAAAGGCAGAGGTCACAAATTCATTTATGTTATGAAAAGGTGCAATTTAGTTTCTTGATGAAATATCTGAAATTCCCTTAGCTTTTGCGAAAAGAATTTTTTTTTTGGCTACAAAAACTGGTTCCCAGAACACCTTTTACAATTTACACAGTAGAAAATGTACTTTTTGGGATGCTTGCTGGTGTCCTGTAGATGTGCAATAGTGTTTTGGTTTGGAATTTCATTTTCATTCGGGGGCAAAATTAAAGTCGAAAATGATGTCTTTCTACATAAAATCCTGGTTCTAGAGTTCCTCTTACACTTTACACAGTTGCGAAATCTTCTACTGGAAGGTGATTGCTAGTGTCCTGTACATGTTCAGTAAGGTTTCGGAATACTCAGTTTCACTCCAGTACCCAAATGGGAGCATAAAAGTTTTGTTTTTTTTTTATAAAAAGAAAAGGTTCTCTGAACTCTTCTTAGAATTTATGCAGTAGTCTATTCATGGGCAATGATTGCCGGCGTCCTGTAGATATGCAATAAGGTTTCGGATCATTTTTACCCCGGTAGTAAGTCAAATTTGGATCGAAAATGACGGTTTTTTTCTCACAAAGAACCCTGATTCCTTGGACTCCTTTGTAATTTTTGCAGAAGCCTAATCATCTTTTGGACGATGATTAGAGGTGCCCTGTAGATATGCATTAAACAATTAAACATTTTCATCTCAAATCTTATTTCTGATAATTACTTGTATCATTTTATTAGTTTTATTCATTTTTACCCCCCCCCCCTCCCTTCCCCGAACGCACGCACGAGTGTTTTTTTTTTTTCTGGTTGATTTTTTTCCCCATTTTATTGTACCTCTTTTTTACCGTCTTGAGTCCCCCCTTCCCCTTTAAGAAATCTGACTTTTGTGAGACTGACTACCTCTTGTTTCTTTTTACATGTCCTTGATCTATAATTTGTTATTATCTACAGGATATGTGGGTTGGAGTCATTCTGCCCAATGGTGAGCAATATTAGCAGACTAGAACTGAAGGACTGCTACATCCATTTCTCGTTTAATAGTACTACATGTATCGATTAATATATGGACAGTTTCCTTCATAAGAGTTTTGATTAACGGTTAACTACATGAACTACTTGCCGAATTAAAATACCACTGTGTCCACCCTACAATATTAATTTAAAAGCAGTTGCTTAAGAGGAGTAAGCATCCCCTGTCGACTCGTCACATCCACCTTGGCCCAATGTAATGATCAGATACACGGAATATTCCGTAGTCAAATTTAGTATAAAAACAAAGGTCTTACAACTGGTATGGAATGTCACTCAAAATATTATCCAATGCATATGATAGGCTATATTTGCTAACAAGGTAATCATAACGCCTATACAATTTACGAAATGCTGACTTTAAACGAGGCTGCTGAAATCCACTTACCATCAATTTATCTGTCAGTTGCCCATCTCAATTTGGATCAAAAGGAACAGAAGACAGATAAAAATGTGCACACTGTCTAAAACGTTTTACTCGTCAATACGTTTCATTTTGTTTGATACATGTTATATAGTATATAGCCACGAGTGACTCATAATATCATTTTTTCACTATACATTTCATTCAAAAAACAATATTAAATTTAAAAAAAAATCTTTTTGTGAGGTCGATTTTCCCCATTTCTAATGTTTTTGGCCCCTTATTAACGATATACGACACGATATATCACAGTGAGCTTGAAATAAAAGATACAACAGAGTATGACATATCTGTTTCATATTTGAATATTTTACTAGAAAAGACGTTATTGGTGATTTAAGAACAGAACTTTATGATAAACATGATGACTTTAACTTTTCAATCGTCAACTTCCCTTACTTATGCAGAAATACACCCTTATCACCTGCATATAGGGTGTATATTTCTCAGTTGATTCGATACGCCAGAGCATACTCTACGTATGAACAATTTCTAAAACGAGGTAAGTTATTGACAAACAGGTTGATGAAACAAAAAATATCAGCAGTCTCCTTTAAAGTCGTCATTTCGTACGTTCTATGGTCGATACAATGACTTTGTCAGCAAATACAATTTATCATCAAGTCAAATGGTGACTGGCGTTTTTCATACTTATTGTTAGGCAATAATTTACACACGAAATTGTCGACGGCTTTTTTCCCGTTATTTCCCGATCATGACAAGGAGCACACGGCGGGTGTGACCGGTCGGCAGGAGATGCACCTGACCCCACCTCTGATGTTTTAGAGGTCCGTTTTTGCTCTGCTCCAAAATTTGTATTGTTTAATGTACTTTTGAGCTTGAAAACTCTTCGTTATCTCCATACATTTCATTTAAATAGAAAGAACGAACTTTATATAATTGCAGTCCAATTGTACGAAAGTTGAGTCATATATATAGTAAGTACTTGACGTAAATGACTATGTCCGTTCATTTTGAACATTTTCTAAGACATACAATCGAGGCGAAGTAGATGAACTGAAAAAAACTCAAGATGGTTACCATGAAGAATCTTGTTATAGTTAAATGTATTTTTATTTAATTTAATAACTAATATATATATATATATATATATATATATATATATATATATATATATATATATATATATATATATATATACGAGGGGCATTTCAAAAGTTCTTGCAACTGGTATATAAAATTTTAACTACGTTACGGATTAAAATGACTCTGATACCACAGTAAAGCTTAGGCAAATATGCATTAGTAGTGACGTCATTTTACATTCAAAATGACGTATAGGTCTTCTAAAATGACGTCATAATTAGGTATACTCTGTATACTGGGCGTAAAAATGAAAATGAAATGAAATAAGGAGAACAATGTTTTTGTTGAGCAAAGAGCGTATTGCAAAATTCGCTCATTGCTTGGCTTTACGACAACAGAAATAAAAGCCGATTTAGATGTAGTATATAGAGAGCATGCTCTTTCATATCGAGCAATAGCAAGATGGGTAGTTCAATTTAAAGAGGGTAGAAAATCAATTGAAGATGACCCCCGCTCGGGGCGTCCAGTTTGTGCACATGGCGAAAAAGAAATCGTCGCTGTTCAAAATACGATAGCTGATGATGCTAGATATACAGTTGAGGAAATAGCAGACTTAGCTAACATTAATTCGTCAGCAGTTTTTCTTATTTTAAAGGAAAATTTAAAGCTTAGGAAAGTCTGTGCTAGATGGGTGCCGGATCTTCTCTCGGAAGAGCAAAAGCGCATCCGGGTAGAAATGGCCGCAGAGTTACTAACAATTTATGAAGATTGTGACCAAAGGCGAATAAATGAGATTGCAACTGGTGATGAAACATGGATATATTTTTTTGAACCGGAAACTAAGCTCAAAAATAAAGTTTGGATCGGTGAAAATGATACAAGACCTCAAATTGCACGCAGAAACCGGTCTGTCCGGAGAGTAATGTACGCCTAATTTTTTGATTCTAAAGGCCCTGTTGCTCAAGTTCCGGTTCCAGAACACAGCAGTGTTACTGGTCAATTTTATGCAGAGAATGTCTTGTCTCAGGTTGTAGAGCACTATAAAACGACCCGACCAACAAACAGTACTAGAGGAATAAAGCTCCTCCATGACAACGCACATGCCCATAGATCAGAGGTAGTAACCAAATATTTAAAGGAAAATGGTATTGCCGTTTTACCACATCCACCCTACAGTCCTGACCTAGCTCCATACGATTTTTATTGGATGCCGTTATCAAAGAAGCCCTCCGAGGACGGCGATTTGAAACTCGTCATGCAGTCGGAAGTGCCGTATTCCAGTGTATGAAGCGTATACTGAAAGAGGACTATAGGGCAACATTTTCCACGTGGATTCCAAGACTGAAAAAGTGTGTCCAGGTCAACGGAGACTATTTAGAGGGATTGATATAATTTAATTTATGATAATGACGCTCATTAATTTACCGCACACCAGTTGCCAGAACTTTTGAAATGCCTCTCGTATATATATATATATATATATATATATATATATATATATATATATATATATATATATAAAGCACTAAAAACCAACAACACTATATCTTAAGTGTCGGATCTACTAAGTAGATACAAGGTCACGGATGGAAATTTATATAAAGCACTAAAAATGACCAACGACACGAACAATAATAATTGTCAATTTTTTTGGACGACCTGTCCCTTCCTCAGGACAAAGAAAAAAGTTGAGAAGTCATAAAAACAAAGGAAATAGAGAAATAAAAATAACTAGCACTACTACTAAACTACCAAACACTTAATATTTACAGTTCTTTTATTCAATTATTGGCAGGCGCGTAGCATGGGGGCAGTTTCCAGTTTTTTTTTTTTTTGGGGGGGGGGGGGGGGGGAAGGGTTTCGCTATAATTAATATAATTTTTTTTTCCTACTTTTAACTCTGGCAATTTTTTTCAAATTTTTCAAATGAAAAAAAATTATACAAAGTTAGAGAAAGAACCCTCCCCCCAACAAAAAAATAAATAATTGCTATGGGCTTGGTTGATTGAACAATAAAGTAATTTCTGAAAAAGGCTAACCAAAAAAAAATTTGATAAAGCCATTAAATCATTTTATTTTGCATAGTAAAGGTACATGTAAATTGCAACTTGCATTCAAAAGGTCATTCTTCCTCTGAATTAAAAAAAAAAGATTTAAAAAGTTCTTACAAGAAGATGTGCAATGATAGTAAAGCAGCAATTAAGGTCTGGTTTATACTATACATATGTATGCATTGTTGTCTCTGCATAAGTGTTCATTCGATGGATTCAATCACTTGTCCACTGTTTTCTTTCTAAAAGGAAAAAATCAGAACATTACTTTGAACATCAAGCTATCAGACAGAATGTATTTTTATTTAATCTAATAACTAGTATGGAATCAAGCATATTAGTGCAAAATTTAAATTGTTTAGAAGAAAGCAAACAAATCAACTAGAGATTTCGGGGTTACAGTGCTTATTAGAAATACAAAATCATTATTCTTCCCATTGGCTAGTCGATATCTACAACGCTCTGTGTAAATTATCTATATCATTTTTTTCTCCTATGCAAAAAGGGGTTCTGTTCATATCTCCTAATAATAAGTTTTAAAAAACAAGCACATTGTGGTCCCCGCTTTCGGTGTCTTAGTGGTTGGGTGCAGATATTTAAGGTATATTGTAACTGTCTTGTTTATGTGTTCTGTCTTGTCTGTCTAACATAAAAAAAGCTATAAATTATTGGATTAAAAACATTGTGGCAAAGATTAAAGCTTCTCAAAACTGCATCAAACTTCAAAATCAAGGTCATGAAGTCTAATATCTTAATACAATTCGAAAGCTCTTCTTACAAGTGATGCATATGTAAAAAATATGAAAGCCCTTAAAATTGTTGATACGGAGGTGACTTCTAGATCAAGGTAATGAGGTAATATATCTTTCTCAAAAGGTGTTGTCATATGTAATGTACATGTAAAATACGAAAGCCCTATTTTCTCTCATTCAAACTTGATTACAAATGTGAAAAAAAATGAAAAAGACTGTGGGTTAAACTTGAAGATCAAGGTCACGAGGTCAAAACCAGAGTACATTAGCGAAGGTCTTGAAACAGGTAATGCAAATGTCAAATAGAAATACTCTATCTTCTTTTCTTCAAAAGTTAGCAGCAATAATAAAATGTTTGAAAGGTAGGTCAAACTTCTAAGTCAAGGTCAAATATTATACATTCCAAAACTTCTTGTCACAGGTAATGCACTTGTCAAAGATGAACGCCCTATTTTCTACTATTCCAAAGTTATGTCAAATTTCAAGATCAAGGTTATGGGATCAAAATTCATAGTATATTTATAAAGGTCTTGTCACAGGCAATGCACATGTAAAATATAAAAGTCCTATCTCTTGACCTGTACAGATAGATTCCACATTCATGTCAATGAAAGCTTACATCAATTTATTTGTGATGACTAGTAATCTCTAGTCAAGTTAAATATAATATCATTATTCATATTTAAAAGTAATTGGCTGCATTTATTTGTATTTAAATTTTCAAAAGCTATGAGCAAGGTAAAAAGAATGTAAAACGTTTTGAAAAGGAGGTCATATTTTAAGGTCAAGGTCAAGTCAAAAATCTTAGTATATTTGGAAACGTCTTGTTACAGGTAATGTACATGTGAAATATGAAAGCCCTATCTTTTCTCATTCAAAAGTATTGACCAAGATTAAAGTTCTTGCGATAGACAGACTGACAGATGTACAGAATGGCAGGAACGAGATTTCATGTCCCCTCACTTTTGCAAAAGGGGGGGGGGGCTTTACTTTCAATAAATATAAAAATATGCATAAACCAACATTTAACAAATGACTAAAAGTCATTAATCTCTTTCAATCAATTTGAAGTATAGGGTATCAAAATACTTGTATCAATGAATCATATACCTCTCTTCCGGATTTCCTCACTGTTTTCCATTTCCGTTGATTTTAATTCCTTTGAAGTGCTCTGTTGCTCTTCTCTTCTGAACCCCTGGTCTATTCATCATACGATTATGGTAGGCCTTAAGTGATGGAAAAGCATCCAGACATGGAGAAGACAAGGTCACAAGACAATCCAAAAGGTCAAACAGATTGTAGTCGGTAAAGCATATCTGTAAACCAAATCAAATTTGGATTGTTAGTATTTCTTTCTAAAAGATATAAACAAACTAGATGTCCTAATGTGAAACGAATGCGACCGCCTACATTATTGTATTAAACATTTGAAAGTCAAAGAAAGTGTGAATAACAATAGGTAAAAATAAAACACAAAAAGTCCTATTGCAGCTTTTTTTTTTTATTTTGAATCAGGTGACTTCAGATCGACAAGCACATCAGAAAAGAAGTCTGGACTATATTGAATAATTAGACATTTCATTATCTAAGGGCAATGACTTTTGTAACAATGGATCAATTGACATAAAACTTGAATTTGATGACTACACCATCAATGTTGAAAATCATACCAGAAAACAGCTCATTATTTACAAGCACGAGAAAAAAGTTCAGAAAAGTGAATATTAAGCAAAAACTAGGGACAATGGTTCTCTTGGACCGTTTGAAAAGGCATAAAGCTCGAATTTGTAAAGCATCAATATTAAGAATTACAAATTTAGGCTATTATCTTCAACCATGGCAAAAAAGTGGAGAATTTTTAAAAATTGTATGGTAATAACTTCTCTGAAAATCTGTCAATTAACATGATATCTAAACTAAATCTGTAATTCATCAAGACATAAACCCAAATCAATTTTTCATTCACAAACAGGGAAAAAATCCAGAAAACAGATTATGACGCAGTGACAGAATGACGGATAAAAGGGTGACATTATATAACCAAGACATTTCATAGTGGCACAATAATGATAACCATTTCTTGTAAAACAGATTTTTTATAACTTTTATTTTTGACTGAATATTTAAAGCAGATTTTAAATAACAAACCTTGCTTCCCAATACATAATCTCCACTTTTCATTAAGTTCTACAAAAGAAGGCTAAAAGATAGAATCTAATTGTGTCAATAACAGAGCAGAATATACAAATTTCCTTATTTAAACTTTCTTTAATGGACATGTACTGCAATGTCTCTATAAGCAGCTCAGTTTCATATTTTATATCAGAAACTTAAATGTTGCTTCTTGTATAGTATTGTAAGAATTATTTGATGATCATGTCAAGATAAATTGTTCGAAATTATAAACCATACCATTTAAATGTTAACAATAAAAAAGGGCGAATAAAACAAGTATACACAGTATGTACAGTAATGTAACAAACCTCAAAACACTGTAGTTTTCCTGGAAGTTTTTCAATAAATGGACCCTTTCCTTCCTCCTGCAAGAAAAAAACTGATATAAATTAATTCATATTTCATTGTCACCTCATAGGACCCAAGTATAAAAAATATTAAACAACCCCATGTTATTAGTGTTATGTCGATAAAGTGAGTTTTCAATCAAGTTAATGTTCGTATCATTTTTTTCTGCTAGAGAAGGCAACCCTCTCCTCACGTAGATGGATGGATTTTCCAGTCATTATTACGATTTTTACGAAAAGATGGAGGTTACATGAAATTCAATCAATTTAATACACCACATGGCAAGAAAAACTGTGTGACAGTGAAGCATTATTTATTGTAAGCTAAAATTCCATGTAATCAACAGACTTTGGACATCTGGTATAAGAATAACTTTCTAATTTATAGCACCAGGTAGAGTTGGTAGAATTTGACCCAGTGGCTTTCTTTTTACAAAAGAAAAATACACATGTACTTGCATAGTTCTGATAAATCATCCTTGTATATTCTATTCTAAGATCTTCCACCCCATCATTGATCATGTCAGCCCTTGTTGCTTCCTTATTGTTTGAACCATACAAATCTAAAGAGTGTCATAAAAAGGCAAAATATAAACGAGTATAATGATCATTTATACATGCATGACTTTCTAGCCATTGACAACGATTCAAGAGAAACCATTATCCGTTTTACATCATAGGATTAGTAAAACTTATTTCTTAATATCTATTATAAAAATTTGATAAATCTTGAAAAGGATATGATAAAATTATGATCCGTTAAAGGTTACAAGTAATTGAGCAAGATCACCAAGATTGTTTCGAAATATTTCTAGGAATATTACAAATTAAAATCATTAGTATGTGCGGCATCACATATCAGTTACCTCTAATAGAAGAATTGTTTTGGTAATAGACAAGATAAGATCATACTCACCCAGTTTTCTAGCCAGATATCTCAGAATTGCGTTGGACTGTACGATCTCTACATCTCCATCCTTAAAAAATGGACTCTGACCAAATGCCTAGAACAGTAAATGATACTGTAAATTTCATCAATTTTGACTCTCTTATGTGCTATGCTACTTTTTTTCAAGCTGCTGCATTTTATCATATGATTTCACATCAGTGCATATTTATCTAATATACGGGTGTAATATTCATCTCTTTTTTTATTACATTATTTTTTTTCAAATTGATTATAGAAAAATTTCATAGGTTGTTTCCACTTTTCAAAATTGATGTGACAATTTATATAAAGTACTATATGTACTTTCTTTTCTATGATAATTGCTGTTAAGATTTTTTTAAATATTACATGAACGAAGTAAGATTAACGCCCCTTGATAAATGAATTTACAAAAAAGACTATTAAAACGGTTTTAATGTTGGATAAACCAGTCACGGCAGCCTTATGGTAGGGCGCTCACTTCGTGATCGGGAGACCCAGGTTCGATTCTGGCGCCGCGTCAAACCAAAGACGTAAACATAGATAGTGACTGTTCAATCACCAAGCGCCCGACACCAAAAGTGAAAGTCCCGGGCCTTTCGGATGAGACCTAAAAAAAAACGAAGGCCCGTGCCACGAGGCTTTGGCACGATAAACCCTCGCTGCTCAATGGCCCTGAGTGCCGGGTATAGGTCTAAATTTGGAGCCCTTCACCGGCATACGGTAACGTCTCTCTATGACTGAAAAATTCTCGAATGGGGCGTTAAACAACATACAATCAATCTAATAATGTACGATAAAAAAAACAAAGATAACCTGCAAAGAGCAAGAGCCACTTAAGGCCTTTTTGGCCCTGACAATTTCTGAAAAATCGAAACTGCTCAGTTTTAGTTGGAAATGCAGTATTTATAACGTGGACCCTTGGTGACAGTGTATCAATTGAACATGACGTAATTTTCTCTCTAGTCAATGCATTATGACGACATAAAATGCGTCATTTTTCTCATATCCTGTAAATTCTCTTAAAAATGGCCAAAAGTTGAGGTATTTTTTCAATATTTCATATAAAGCACAACCTCTTATCCAAAACATGCAATAACATAATGAAAGATCTGTTTCTGAAGATCACAAAACATGTTTTAATTTTTGGATCGTGGGCTGTGCTCATATTTTAATTCTTTGCTGAAGGTAGTCAAATACGCATGTTTTCTGCAAGATTCAAGAGCATTGCATTTTCTCAAAGCCTATTTTCCAATACCTGGATTCTCAAAAAGAAATTTTGTTATAGGAAATGAAAGTCTCTACTTTATTTTGATATATGATATAGGACAGAGGGTGATAGTAAATTAATTGATATAAGGACAGGGCCATTTTATGCATAAAGTGAACCTAGCTCTTTCACTCTAACTTACCATAATTCATACACACCTCATAAATAGACTTCTTGCTTAATGATCTCGTTACATGTCTTTACATTGTTATATATGCATCATGACATTGCAGTATTCAGCAGATTCATTAATGTTTACAAATAAAAGTATTAAAAGAACCAGTAGCAAAAGATATTTGTGGATTATAATTTTAATCAACAAACATGTGACATTGTAAAACAGGAAAGCATCTTCAATACTATATTATCATAGCTTGTTTCTTCTTCTTCCTTTAAAGTGAAGGGCCGCTTCTGCGGCATTTTCTCACTGATTAAAAACGTGTGCGGGAGGGTGAGAGCAGCTAATACAAATTCTTTACAAAGTCAGCACATAGCAAAGTAATCTGAAGAATACAGCCCTTTACATCGAAAATATTAATGATTTGTGCTAAATTTGAAAGGAGTTCTGGAAAATCTTGAACACACAAACACTGATATGTCTAAAATGAGAGAATTCGAAGAACCTAGTCATCAACATACACAACATTTAATCTACAGCAAAAATACCAGATTTTCCCAAAGTCCTCAACATTAATTAATAGCAAAAAGCTTAATTTAATAATCAGGTAGACTGACCATTTTTGGTTTCCATTCCTGCACCCAGTTTGGTCCACAATCAATTTCCTCATACTCCACATTGTTGTCAACCATGAGAGTCCTTATTGACTCACCACGGCCTGCAAAATCATACCAATGAAACATTTCACAACAATTGGTATTTACCGATTTATTACATTATTTGCAGTGCATAATTTAAAAACAAACCCTCAATTATGAATAAGTTCGATCACTTTAGTTTTGATCAAAATTTATTAGGGATGTCAACTCGGTCAATATTTGATAATCGGTTACTCGGGCGATTTTCCGATCGAGTACCCGGGTACTCGGTAAAATTGTAAAATACAAATGTGTTAATTTTATTGAGACCAGTTAAGCCCTGTTTAACCCCAACGTTGAATTTTTAACGTTTTTTATGTTTGTACACAAACATCGAGCAAAACGAAAATGATTTTTTGCACTAAATTTATTTCTCAAATAAACACAAAAGACAACAATTAATGCATCATTAATTAGAAATGGTTTATAGTTCTTGTTTAGGAAGACGATTTGATCAACACAAGAGGAAAACAATCTGTAACGTAGCTTTGCAAATGATTAGACAAGCGCAAAATATTGTTTTTAAAGAAAGGGATATTGTCGAGATCGCTAGATATTATTTAATTAATACGTGTATGTTGGTTGTTTTCCCCATGTACGCTATGTTAACTTTGCACAGCTAATTTAAACATTTTTTAAATCTTTACTTCTTTCCTAATGTTTTTTTTTTCACTTTTGAAGTGGTAGCGGTATCTCTTTGTACATCCGAATTCGCTGTATGAAAACTTTATTATTTTAGGATAATAAAACCCTAATTAAACGATATTCATTAAATACTAATCATTAAAGCTATGCAAAAAACTAACGGATCACAAGAGGTGATAAAAGCTGTGTAGGAGATTGGTCACGGTAATTACTGTATAAACAAGTCCACAGCCACAGACAATAACGGGTATTGACAGGTGAGGGTGACGCTAATTACAAGGTAAACAAGGACAAATCATTTTGAAGTTGCATTTTTTTTTTATAAGTTTTTGATAAAAAAATATATACTTTGTTCTTTGAAATATGAAAAAAAAAATATACATCCGAGTAACCGAGTAGCGATTTTAGTATTCAATACTCGTTGACATCCCTAAAATTTATCCGTTGTCTGTCGTCGTAAACATTTTACATTCTCATCCTCATAAATTAGGCTTCACTTGCCACAAAGCAACCTATGTTAATTGGATTCAGGTTTGTTAAAAAAGAGGAACCACACTCTCTTTCAATGGGACGTAACTAAGAAAAAAGAAAACTGGAGTTATTTTAAAATCTTATGATATTATACATTATTTAATGCCTGAGAAGTCAATAGACCAGAATATTTTTCCCGAGGTGCAGGGAACAGCTCAGTGTGTTCTATTGCCCGAGGCCAACGGCCTCGGGCAATAGAACACACTGAGCTGTTCTCTGCACCATGGGAAAAATGTTCTGGTCTATTGACTACTCAAGCATTAGATAATTGTTTTATTACCTAATTCCATTTTAGTATTTAGTGTTCACAATTGTATATTACAGAAGGTTTCCGTACCATTATGCATTCATATTCATATAATATATTTAAGTTATGTAACTCTCATTAAATAAAATATCCTACCATTGAAATCTTACATTAAAAAAAAAAAATATTATCAAAAGATCACATGAAATGATTGTTTACAACTGGCGTCTGCGCAATGTTACACATTAATTCGAAATATGGATCTGTTTTTCCGAAGTACGTTGCCTGTTTAATGGCTCGCAGTCTATTGACCGGCGGTCCAATAGATTGGAGTCTATTGACCGGCAGCCCAATAGATCGGTTTCAAAATAAAGATAAGAAAAACTGAAAACACATACAGAATAGAAGAAAATATTAAATCTCTAATAAAACAACAAAATCCATTTGATTAGGCAATAAAAGAAATTGATGACCAATGATCTCTTTTAAGTATTTTGCACATTGATCTTTACCATATACAATGTCCATTTATGATGCAATCTTGACTTTGAGGTGTTGCCTCCAAGGTCAAGGAGTTAAAATTTTCATTTTAATTCTAAATTATGTGTCTGCTTCATAAAACTGGAATTATTTCAAAGGCTTTGGAGTAAAGACAAAATAATTTACACTGGGTGCATTATTTCCAACCAAAGGAATATTCCTTGGCACCATTCTCTCTTACACTGTAATAAATATTAAAACCAAAACATTGACATTTACTGATGGAAATATTTTTGCAATGGACGTTCAATTACAATTAATCTATCAAAACCCACAGTATAACCAGGACTAAACATATCAGTTTAATAGTACATGTAAGCCAAAATATACGTTCTCCATAGCTACGTCACATTTAGTTGTAACCATCAACAAAAAAAAATCATGTACCCTTGTAACAAGACACAACAAATAAGTCATAACGATGTCCCTCCAGGGCTTCCGTACAATACAGTACAATGTATCAACTAACAGCGTGTCACTTAATTTGATCAAGCGGGTTAAAGTTTCACATGTTTATCACCATATTTCTCATTGATTGGACATTTAAATTCAATAAAAAGAACACTATTTTGCATATGTACAGTCGAGAAGCCGACAACGGCTTTCACTGACCACGTGTTGATCCTGTCCTTGCAAACAATCGTTCAATGAGATTGGTCAGTATAATCAGTGTATTGCTGAATTCTCTACTTTTTTAATAAGCAAAATAGCACGGTATTTATTTCACTGGAATCAAACAGGGCTACGTTATCTCAGCTTCTTACAGATACATACAAGCATTACACATTCCTGTACACGTTGAGAAATGCAGTATCACGCACCTATGCAGTGAGATTTAATCTTACACCGGTGTCGCATAATTTACGTTCCGGGTAACTTAGCGTTCCGGCCGGAACGCTAAATACCTATAATATTGGTTCCGGGCTATAATAAACGTTCCGGCCCGCGTAAGTTTGGTTCCGGCCATAATAAACGTTCCGGGCATCCAAGCACCCTTTTAAAAACTTTATTTATAATTAATATTTACAAATAATTTGGATTTTTTCTTTCTCTTAACGGGTTATACGATGCAGCAGGATTTACACGTATATCGATTTAGAAGAAGTCCCAATATACGGTCTTAATACATGTACCAATACTATAATCCATGGAATTATACGTAATTATGTTGTTTCTTTGTAAACAAAAGAACGCCAAGGTGTGAAACTTGTTGACATTGATATACCCCGTCATGTTGTCTTTCGATACAATGTGCATTCATGCGAATCGCTGTAAGTATGTCACTTCCGCAATTTTAAATGAGTTTTAGGCAAAGGGCACCCCGATCAGCTGGTAATGCTAATAGATGAATTATATTTACGATTTAAAAAAATTATTGGATAATATTTTGATATCTTTATATATATTTTTTCAAACACCCATTGCGTTTTTGTAAAGCCAACTATATAATTAAATCACATTACGTGAATGAACATAATAGGAGATGTGTGGGCGACGGACTTGCAAAGGTGTGAATAGACATTAATTTCAGCGGAAAATTTATAAAGTATTTAATATGAAGAAAAGCAATTTCCTGTAATAATTCAGTAAAAAATTTTGTGGATTTTTTTTTCTCGGATAAAATTTATTTTTTAAACAGTCAATGTAATGCCAGCAAAATATGACGAACTTTAAAATTTCTAAGATCCCGATTTTAGCAAAGGTTTCAAGGTCACGGCTAAAAACTATTGAATAAAACTCAGCTCATTTTTATTTATACAGGTAAGTGCACTTATCAGCATTTGTAATAATAACTCTGAAGAGGAAATGTAATACAGATACAGATTTGTATTTTACAATCCTGAGAAATTAATAGTATTGTTAAGCCTGCGCAAAAACCTACCCCCCCCCTCCCCCCACCCCCCCCGGGGGGCAGAAAACTTAGCCCGACTGGCTAACGGAAGAGGCATAGATATAATTATATTTTACTTAACAATTTGTTGAATGTAAGTATGTATTTTAATTTCCGCTTAAATGTCACATTTTCGCTAAAACGTCCATTTTTCCCCGCTAAAATTTTATATACCATGTATTCAGAACTCAGTTTTCAAAAGGCATATCTGAATTTAATGATATATATAAATAAACGAAGTTTCAAAACAATAATTATTTGGGAAGAAGAAGAGATTATTCTGTAATTCTGTTAGAACATGTTTTCCGCTATAGAATGCAGTGGAAAATGGAAAATATCCCCCTCCCCCCGTGAAACTAAAATGCGGCGTGTAATTTTCGTCAGTTTAAAACTGCACAGCTCCATTTCAAGTTAGACGAATTAGGCTTTCATCTTATAATCTTGAAAATGAGACAGGACTTCATAATAAAATACTTAGGGAGAGTGGAATGTGTAGAATATGTTCAAGTGAACATGCGTGGATCTAAAAATATTTCATGGGGGGATGTTGAAGATGAAATGAGAGTTGTTATAACGTACGAACGAAAACTTTAACTGGGAGGGGGCAGTGGTGAAGTAGAGGATGAATACCATTTTGTTTTAAATTGCCTGCATTTTGAAAAGCTTCTATAAAAATATGTCGAGAAGTATTACTGACAGAAGTCGTCTTTTTTTCAAATTTGTACAATTATTAAGTGCTCACAAGGTCCATGATCTCTGTAATTTTGGGACATATATCCATTATGCCTTTAAGTTGAGAAAAAGTTTTTTCTTATATGATATGGTAATTCTCCATGATATAATTATATATTACGATTGAGTCATCTATAAAAACTACCATACAATGCCATTGTGTATTATTTTGCATTGTTTGTTATTGTTGAAATGCGATAAGATATATGTCTAAAGCAATTGATAATAATATTTTTTTAAGGCTAAAATTGAAAGATTTTGTGTCAAAGACAGGGTTACATTCTCACATTAAATACTAGAATTGTTTTAGATTAATAGTTAAAAAAAAGTTCAAACGCTTTAACGTAAACACATCAGGTAAAGTGAGTCGTAATAAAAAACTAAATGCGTTTGTGAAACACTGATGCTCCTGTACGGCAGTCTTTTGTGAAGGGTAAAGTCTCTAAAGTGCAAGTTAAACTCTAAGGTCAAGGTCAAGAGATCAAAAATGTTGTTTTCCAAAAAAGGACCTGTATCAATGAAAATACCTGTGAAATATGAAAGCCCAAGAACCAACCGTTCAAAAGTTATATATGGCCAAGGTTATAGTTTTTAAAAAGTGGGTCAAACTCAAAGGGTCAAAATCAATGATACCCAGGGAAAGGACCCGTCACATGAAATATACATGTGAAATATAAAAGCCCTAGGATCAAATGTCAAAAGTTATGGCCAAGGTAAAATTAAAGTTAATTTTTTTAATAGTTCAAACTCCAAGGTCAAGGTCAAAATTGTTGGTATCCTAGAGAAAGTCTTGTCACTAGAAATGCACCTGTGAAATTAAAATTACATATACTCTGGCTATTGTAACCTGGGACGTCTATTATAACCGTTAACTTGGTCCCGGGTTATTTTATCTTTGTTTTAAAGAGGGAGAAAATGAACAGGTAACAAATAACTTTGAAATTACTCTTATATAAATATTGCATATAGTTGAATGCACCCCAAGAAAACAATTGTCAATCGAGGCGTAGCCGAGGTTGACAATGGTTTTCGAAAGGTGAAAATTTTAAATGTTAAACGCAACTACATGCAATATTTATTATATTATACTGAATTTTTATACAAATACATGTACACATAACAGTGTTGCATGTGCGTGGCTTCATCATTCAGCGGGTAATCGTGTTTTTTAACAAAATAATGTTTCTCGACGAATCAGTTTTAACTAATTTACATGAAAGAATAATATCAGAAATTGTAACCCGGAACATTATTTGTGGTTCCGGGCTACTTCATCTTCGTAATAAAGTGGAAAAGAAACAACCTAGAAACAAAAGATGTTTGAAAACACACAGCAATTGTAACCCGGAACGTTAATTATGACCATAATTTCAGTTCCGGGCTACTTTATCTTCGTAATAAAGTGGAAAAGAAACAACCTAGTAACAAAGATATTTGAAAATACTCTCAGCAATTCCAACCCGGAACGTTAATTATGGCCATAATTTTAGTTCCGGGCTACTTTTTCTTTGTAATAAAGTGGAAAAGAAACAACCTTGTAACAGAAATATTTGAAAATACTCTCAGCAATTCTTACCCGGAACGTTAATTATGACCATAATTTTAGTTCCGGGCTACTTTATCTTCGTAATAAAGTGGAAAAGAAACAACCTAGTAGCAAAGATATTTGAAAATACTCTCAGCACTTCCAACCCAGAAAGTTAATTATGGCCATAATTCTGGTTCCGGGCTACTTTACCTTCGTAATAAAGTGGGGAAGAAACAACCCAGTAACAAAGATATTTGAAAATACTCTCAGCAATTCTAACCCGGAACGTTAATTATGACCATAATTTTAGTTCCGGGCTACTTCATCTTCCTAATAAAGTGGAAAAGAGACAACCTAGTAACAAAGATATTTGAAAATACTCTCAGCACTTCCAACCCAGAAAGTTAATTATGACCATAATTTTAGTTCCGAGCTACTTTATCTTTGTAATAAAGTGAAAAAGAAACAGCCTAGTAACAAATATGATTGAAAATATATAGCAATTGTAACCCGGAACGTTAATTATGACCATAATTTTAGTTCCGGGCTACTTTATCTTCGTAATAAAGTGAAAAAGAAACAACCTAGTAACAAAAATATTTGAAAATATACATATAGCAATTGTAACCCGGAACGTTAATTATGACCATAATTTTAGTTCCGGGCTACTTTACCTTCGTAATAAAGTGGGGAAGAAACAACCCAGTAACAAAGATATTTGAAAATACTCTCAGCAATTCTAACCCGGAACGTTAATTATGACCATAATTTTAGTTCCGGGCTACTTCATCTTCCTAATAAAGTGGAAAAGAGACAACCTAGTAACAAAGATATTTGAAAATACTCTCAGCACTTCCAACCCAGAAAGTTAATTATGGCCATAATTTTAGTTCCGAGCTACTTTATCTTTGTAATAAAGTGAAAAAGAAACAGCCTAGTAACAAATATGATTGAAAATATATAGCAATTGTAACCCGGAACGTTAATTATGACCATAATTTTAGTTCCGGGCTACTTTATCTTTGTAATAAAGTGAAAAAGAAACAACCTAGTAACAAAAATATTTGAAAATATATATATAGCAATTGTAACCCGGAACGTTAATTATGACCATAATTTTAGTTCCGGTCTACTTTATCTTCGTAATAAAGTGGGGAAGAAACAACCTAGTAACAAAGATATTTGAAAATACTCTCAGTACTTCCAACCCAGAAAGTTAATTATGGCCATAATTTTGGTTCCGGGCTACTTTTTCTTTGTAATAAAGTGGAAAAGAAACAACTTGTAACAGAAATATTTGAAAATACTGTCAGCAATTCTTACCCGGAACGTTAATTATGACCATAATTTTAGTTCCGGGGCTACTTCATCTTCGTTATAAAGTGGAAAAGAAACAACCTAGTACATGTAACAAATATGTTTGAAAATACTCTCCGCAATTGTAACCCGGAACGTTAATTCTGACAATAATTATGGTTCCGGACTATTTTATTTTCGTAATAAAGTGAAACAGAAACAACTTAGTTACAAAAAAGTCTGAATTTATTTTACTATTATCTTTTTATAAGGTGGAATACAATGAACAGGAAACAAAAATGTTTGATATTAGTCTCAGAAATTGTAACCTGGAATGATAATTATTTTTAATTAAAAAAAAATTAATTTACAATTTTACATTTTTGCAGATGCTATAATTTAAACTCCTCCCTTTTTTTTGGAAGGGGGGGGGCTCAGATAATTAACTAACATTTTTTTTTATTTTTGGAGCTGTTATAACCTCCTTTTTTTCAAATTTGGGGGAGGGGGCTGAGATTTAAAAACAATGGAGGGGTGTTACATTATTGCCGCTTGCCTTTTGCCTACATGTATATATGTATTTTGATTTTTTTTTCTCCACAAATTTTGATATTCATTAAACATAACGGTATGTATAAAACGATAAAGTTTTAAAGTGTCATAAAAATTGTCATTTTCTTATTGTGTTTTATGTATAAAAAACACCTAGGAATAAAAGTTATTTCCCAAATATCTTAAGGGGTGGGTGGGTAGGATATGCATCGAAGTTACAGAAAAGTCCATTTCAAGGCCTTTAAAACATAATAAAAAAAAAATCATATAAAATTTGCGAAAACCTTGATTTTACTAAAATATTTGAGCTAATTCAGTTTACCTCACTGCTATTTTCACAATCAACATTGCTGGTCTTTACTTTTCATATTTCAACCTTGTTTTTTTTCTTCCTACGGTCTTTAAAAAACAACAACAACATAATTTTCATTAATTACTTGTGTTTGTTCATTCTAAGGGAATAAACCATATCGTTATGTTTTCATGTTTGTTTCATTGCAGAATAAACCACATATTCCTGAAATAGCCATTGTTAATTTATCACAAAACTATATAACTATCTTCATCAGTGAATTATATTTTTCATGTTTGTTTATTTCTAATGGAATATAAATCATATTTTCATGCCAAGTGATAATATCTATGAGGAATGGAAGCCATGTATTCGAGGCTCGACATAGTGGAATTTGCAACACTTGTAATATCATTTAAACAGAGAATGCATCTCTGTAAATACATATACCATTTTGTATTTAATTCTTTACTTTATCAGATTATAAATTTAAAATTTACTGATCAAATTTATCTTTGACATTATGCTTCTTTCTAGGCTTTTGTAATCTCGGTCTAGTTTATCTTCTGTCCTCTTTACCCTGTAAATACCGGGTCTGCGTGCATTCAAGCGAGAAATTCACACCTGACATACACTAAATAAACAAAGGGACTGAATTTGTATGCATTAGATAAACAAAGCCTTTCTTGCGACCAAATTTTATTCGGTGTATACATGTATGTATCAGAAAGCGTATTTCACGATCTTTACTTGGACTATTTAATTCATTTATTTTTAAAAAATGGCTGTACAAAAAGGGCATGACGCCTTATAAAAAAGAACATTGCGCCACATGAGAATGGCATGCCGCTGCGCCATGCTTAATCCTCAAGGAAAAAAACTACTTCTATGATTCAGTGTAGAATGAATTCTGGTAGATAATAATCATTGAGAGATACCGCGATTCGAAGATTGCAGCCATGGCCGGAACCAAACTTACAGTAAAATCCGGAACCAATATTATGATTTTAAGGTTCCGGCCGGAACGCGAAGTATCCGGAACGTAAATTATGCGACACCGGCTGTGCTGACAGCCAATTTGAAGAGAAAAATAAAACTTTTGACAATGGTCTTGCTTTTTCTATTGGTAAAAACCTGATTAAATAATAAAGGGAAATACATAATTATCATGCTTGTACTTACCCCTGACCTGGAAGTACACTAGTTGTATTTTTGCCATGCTTACGATACTAACTCGTGAAGCACAATATTCTAGTGACAAAAACACGAAGATTGCTACCTTGATCAGTTGACCTACTTGATCGTTGCCACCGCTCTATTCAAACAACGTTAAAATAACATGTTTGTTTGCCCTCTCCTTATTCAAGATAAAAAAAAATGATTGGTAGGTACATGTAGGTGGGAAATTATTTTTCCCTGAAATTTTCAACATCAATTCTGAATTTCCAAAATCTATTAAAATTGAAGGAGCATGTATTAATCAAATTAATATATACAGTTGTCGACGAGATGAGAAAATTCCGAACTTAATGATATCGTCTCAAACCACATTTTGGCTGTGGTTTGCGGGGATGACCTTATGAATGCAGATCGGCTTGAGACGTCTGATAAAGTTAGTGTGCTATTCATTTTTTAGATTCATTTCTCGATGAACAAAATAATTAATATATATTTAAATGCTTAGAATTTAATTTGAGTGAAAAGCATGCTTCTTTTCATGTACATACTCATTATTTAGCTAACTCGAAAAGTTCTGCACGAAATTTACATGCTGACATATCGATTGGAAAATTACACCATTCTCGGGAACGTTCAACGGATCCAAAAGCATGCAGTGCACAAGCGAAGGCGGGTGTACATCTTTTTAAAATTTATTTTTAAAAAAGAATTCTCCGTTGTAATATTGTCTTCACAATAATTTACTAAAATATCAATTACGTAGGTTATGAAAATCTGCACCTGCAAATTTTCAAAGCGATTGCACCAGAAGACTCTACTCAGAAACTTGCTTTGTTGTCCGTAAGCAATCGGTCAGCGGGTCACAGAAAATTAGAGAGAGATATCTAGATCTGCAGGTTTAAATAAATTTCTGGAAAATTACTTGCTTGTCGATACACATTAGTACATGTACTTTTTAAGTAAATATCCTCTATAAAGTTTAAATGTACGCGTAGACGAAACACAGTCAGACAAAATGAGAATAATGTCATAAAGAAAAATTTGGTCTAAGGTCCCTTAAAAAAATTAAGCTTTATAGTAAGTTTCTAATTTTTTCTATTTTAGTTTTCAATTTGTACTAAAATTAAAAGTAATTTTGTCTCTTGAGAACACGCAAAAGGTGATTATGTGTAGAGTTATACCCCTTGCGATTATGTTACTAACAAAAGACGGTAATTAGGCTATATCACTTGATAATTTACAGGATTTTTTTTTCCAACTCAACCAAATTATATATTATAATATATATATATATATATATATATATATATATATATATATATATATATATATATATATATATATATATATATATATATATATATATAACCCTTATAAATATCTTTCTAAACAATTATTAATAATAAAAAGTCCAACAAAAGAAATGTTTTTTGCATCGGTCTAACAATTTCATTGTTGACCGACCTGCCAGTACAACATAAGTATTGTTAGACCGCAACGTCACTGCTACGTCAAAAGTAATAAATCCTCGTTCAATATCGGCGGCACTGGTAATTGATTGTATATTGATTAAATCTGATAGATGTTTTCATTTTAATTGTTCTATCTGAAGTGAAGGGTATAACAAAACAGTTATAGACTGGGATTCGGGCAACATGTGATTTGTTGCACCTATAATACAATTACTCAATGTGTTTGGATTAAGAAGACTTTTGTAAGTTTATAGTTTTATTATAAAGTCACAGCAAAGGCAAAAACAATGATACATAGGAAAAGTTCAATGGCTGTAGGTCTCGGAGCTAAGGTGGTGAAAAGCTCACATATTCAGTCTCAGAGCTTAGATGTTAAAAAGCTCTCGTAGTCATTGTAAGAGCTAAGATGTTAAAAAGCTATTGATACTCAGTGCGCACATCTTTTGTACAAGAAGCTGCATCATAGGGATCACGTATTTGGTAATAACAATCAGTAAGTTACAGTGTCACATAATTAATATTAATATAGTCCGAACCTCACTGAAGCTGTCTAATCTCCTTATAGGATACGGCAATATCCTCTGTTTACATTAACATTGTGTATCTTGCACATTCTTCAGTTAATTAGATGGTTGCAGCTTTGCACAAAGTCTGATTGGAAGTGTCAATGTTAGAGAACAACACATCGTAACAAGAGGCCCAGGGGCCACATCGCTCACCTGAGCACTATGGCTAGGAAAAAGCAGAAATCACTTCAATCTTGAAAGGTTGAAAAGTTTAAATATAAAAGTGGTTGGGGGGGGGGGGGTGTCAGGAATTGAACAAATTTGAATCTACATTATCTGAGGATGCTTCCATTTAAATATGACCAATCATGGCTTTGCTGTTCTTGAGTAGAAGATTTTTAAAGATTTAACCTATGTATTCCTATGTAAAACTTTGATCACCCATTGTGGTCCCACCCGACCCACAGGGGTCATGTTTGAACAAACTTGAATGTACACTATCTAAGAATGCTTCCATATAAATATGACCAATCATGGCTTTGCTATTCTTAACAAATAGTTTTTTTTAAAGATTTTTACTATGTGTTCCAATGTAAAACTTTGATGGCCCAATGTGGCCCCACCCGACCCCTGGGGGTCATGATTCGAACACATTTGTATGTACACTATCTGAGGATGCTACCATATAAATATGACCAATCATGGCTTTGCTATTCTTAACAAATTGTTTTTTTTTTTTTAGAATTTTTACCATGTGTTCCTATGTAAAACTTTGATCGCCCATTGTGGCCCCACCCGACCCCCGGGGGTCATGATTTGAACAAATTTGAATGTACACTATCTGAGGATGCTACCATATAAATATGACCAATCATGGCTTTGCTGTTCTTGAGAAGAAGATTTTTACTATGTGTTCCTATGTAAAACTTTGATCGCCCATTGTGGCCCCATCCGACCCCCGGGGGTCATGAGTTGAATAAATTTGAATGTACACTACCTGAGGATGCTTCCATGTAAATATGAGCAATCATGGCTTTGCTGTTCTTGAGAAGAAGATTTTTAAAGATTTTTCCTATATATTCCTATGTAAAACTTTGATCGCCCATTGTTGTCCCACCCGACCCCCGGGGGTCATGAGTTGAACAAACTTGAATCTACACTACCTGAGGATGCTACCATATAAATATGACCAATGATGGCTTTGTTGTTCTTGAGAAGAAGATTTCTAAAGATTTTTCCTATATATTCCTATGTAAAACTTTGATCGCCCATTGTGGCCCCACCCGACCCCCGGGGGTCATGATTTGAACAAATTTGAATCTACACTACCTGAGGATGCTTCCATGTAAATATGACCAATTATGGCTTTGCCGTTCTTGAGAAGAAGATTTTTAAAGATTTTTCCTATATATTCCTATGTAAAACTTTGATCGCCCATTGTGGCCCCACCCTACCCCCGGGGGTCATGATTTGAACAAATTTGAATCTACACTACCTGAGGATGCTTCCACATAAGTTTCATGTTTTCAAGCACAGTGGTTCTTGAGAAGAAGATTTTTTAATGATGCCATTAATTTTTCACGAATCCTTAATTATCTCCCCTTGGAAGAGGGCGTGGCCCTTCATTTGAACAAACTTGAATCCCCTTTACCCAAGGATACTTTGTGGCAAGTTTGGTTGAAATTGGCCCAGTGGTTCTTGAGAAGAAGTCGAAAATGTAAAAAGTTTACAGACGGACAGACAGACGGACAGACGGACAGACGGACAGACGGACTACAGACAAAATGTGATCAGAAAAGCTCACTTGAGCCTTCGGCTCAGGTGAGCTAAAAACTAATTGTCCGTCAAATGAAGACGCTCACTTATTGCATCCAATCTCCCAGAGTTTGTAAACAAGATCATAATTAAGAAGTTATTGTCCGTCGCTCTACACACTGATAGTATCAATTATAATTCAAAACACAATATTTTAAATATTAATAAACTCAATGTACAAACTTAATATATCAATTAAAATTATAATTTGAACGCTCATTGTGTTACATTCCTCCCCAAACCAGAGGAAACATTGTCCAATGTTTTACTTTATAAAAAGCACTAACACAATGAGTCAAAATGTCCATAAATTAATCACTTTAAAATGTCCATAACACACAACACACAGAAGTCCAATAAGAATGTCCTGAATTGTTTATTGAATAATGACGAATGTCCCTTGAAAAACGGCGACATCCACTTGACCAGGATTTCTGTGACTTCTTATGGATTACGGAGAATGTCCCTCACATCTGGTGACATCTCTCAGGTGGTTAATAATGGGTGACATCTTATGGATAATGATGAATGTCCCTTAAACTCGGTAACATCTACTGGATAATGATGAATGTCCCTTAAACTTGGTGACATCCTAGACATGACACATTGTCATAATGTTTGTGATCGTATAGTGGTAATAAGAGTTCATGCATCACAGCAAACGTAAACACACAAAATTGCAATCTGCAACAGAGTTAATTAAAGCTTTCTGCTTAATTGTCCGAGACTTGGATACATGGCGTTGATCTTTCGTGGCTATTCGACATCAGCATGGATTTTCGTCTCTGCTTCATAAGAACCATTGTAGCTGGATATTTGATTGTCTTCTAAACCTGATATTTTCAGCATTTTCCACGCTCATTACTGGTGCAAATGGAACTTTGGTGTGGTCAGTCTCTCTGCTTTCTAGGTACTCTGTCATTCTTGACTCTGAATAATTGGCTGAAATATTATACCTAGAACTTTTCTTTCTGGACAACCAATACACTTTTGACCTTGACCTTTTATTCACATTTTCAAATATACAACACAATTACTGACCCCATAATAATAGAACTTATTATCCCCAGGAGAACGTATATATCCATGTCAGTTAACCACTCTCAGTTATGGGAATATTTTGTATATATTTTTTTTTTAATTCTTAAGTATAAAATTAATTCTTTCCAATTTATAAGGAGAATCTTGGAAATGTGGAATTAAAAGTGTCACATAAAATTGAAATGTTGAATTATTAATTCGCTTTAAATAATTGTGAACAAAGAGTCAACTTGAAATCACAAATAGCGATGTGACAATTTAATAACATTACTTAAATGG